CTAAATCAAAGAATATTCGAGGAGAGAAAAAAAGAATATCATTGAAGGAAAATTTCCACGGATATTGAATCGAACTTACTACGATTTTTCATCTTTCTCTATTATTCTTTCTATCTTTATCAAAGTATCGATAGGTTCTTCCCCCCGCCCCCCAGATAGGAAGAACTAGAATAGATTTATTCGACTAACCGGAAGTACCTCTCCTTGTCCGTTTTATTCCGCAAAGTGCTTTCCATCGCTTCCCGTTCTTTCCATTCTCTTTCTATCTTTTCCTCAACGTGTACACGTATATCTATCTATCTATCTATCTATATATATATATTTTGATCTCTTTCCACATCGTTCATGGACTCTTGCAAATGTCCTGGAAATGGAAAAGTAGTCTTCTCAGATCGATTCGGAGATTGGACCACTTCCGGCGTTCTGATTGGCTCTTCGCCACAATCCTGCGGTTATACCGCGATCGTAACTTCGACGTTTGTTCGAGGAAAGTCTCGCGTATACGTTTTATCCTGAAAGATAAGGTTTTGCTAGGTGAAAATCACTATGGGAAATTCTATAAACTACATTTGTACTTTTGTATCTAACTTGCTTCGAAAAGTCGATAATGGAAAAACCTTAGGATTATCCGTAATCGAACGATGTTGCTGATCATTATCTTCGAATCAACTTTTTTAACGTGCATTTCAAACAATTCAAGAAGAGAGATAATAAATAAAACAAAATCAAATTCAACATCCTACTGTTCGAAAAAGCAAAAAAAAGTTATACCTCTTATAAAAAGTTGACTTTTTACAAGAGTGGCTTAAAAAGTTTTCGATTTCGACAAAAAGACCCTTCAATTTTATTGTTTTTTTTTCTTTTTTTTTTTTGTTTAAATAAAAGTCACTTTTTGTCTATACGGGGCTCAAAAGATGAAGTAAAACGATTGAAAAAATAACTACCAGTCGCATAAATCTTTCTCGCATGTAATATATAAATCTTTATATATCTCTACGCACACATCTTAGCGTATAGATATTGAGAAAATTATTATCGTCGCGATTACAACTCGTTGCGATAAGAGAAATAAAAAAGAATGCACGAGGATAGCTTGTCCTTGACTTCTGATAACGAGTTCTAGTAGCCGTCGAGAGAATATCGACAAGTTCTCGATTCAAACTGGACCGGACGTTTTCGGCTTTTCCCTGATCCACGAGAGACTTGCCCTGACGTAAGATAAATTTCCAAGTAATAATCTAAAAAACGTTATCATCTTCTAACTATATATTCTCGAATGACCATCTATTCATTTTTCTCTCTTTTTTTGTCTTATCTTTCGACGGAATGCTAGATAAAACATGAAAAACGCGAAAAATTAGTTGGTCCAAATTTAACTGGAGATTTCTGACGAGTACTACAATGATGATAGAGGATTGACGTTGTTATGCTAGTAATTGAAGGGACAGTTCCAAGAGAGAGAGAGAGAGAGAGAGAGAGAGAGAGAGAGAGCTTCGGTATTAGGTGGTTTGCATTTGACAGGAATCTGGTAAACATAAACGGGCTATGAACGAGCTAGAAATTCACACGATCACCCGACGATAAATCAAAGTAAATCAAAGGGGGGAGAGGCTTTTCGTTAACCGATATATCATTTATTATCAATAGATTCAGGGCTATCGCCGAACTATTAAAAATCGTATAACGTCCCTTGCAACATTGGGTTATCATCCTAAAATTGTCATCGTCATTGCCATCGTCGTCGTCGTCGTCGTCATCATCATCGTCATCGGTTATTATCGTCCATGAATAAATTACACGCGACGGATAATTTTCGGAAAGAAAAAAAAAATAGGAAGATAAGAGATAAATATAATAAAAAGATGGTAACTGAAAAGGTCGTAAATTCGATAAAGGAGAATTCGATATGGAATTTCATCGATGTCGGGCCCGATAAATCGAGGATTTAACGAGAAGAATAATGCATCGCATTATCGATGCTACGCGGCATTACTCGTCAGTGGTGCTATTAATTATTATTCTAATGGATGATATACCATAGGGCCAATCTGTACGAGAAACACGTAGGACAACGTTGTGTCAATGTTGGTGTTGCTGTCGCCGTAGAGCACCACCAACAGCAACAACGCCGGCTTTTGCAGATACGATGAATCATCGTCAGGCTGCGTGAATTAATAAATCGCAGGTGCAGAGGGGAGTAAACGAACGCGAGCGCGTGCACGCTTCGCTTGATCCTACCTATTTACGTACCTTCCAACGTTTCCAACGACCTCCCGTTGCACGACCCTCCTCGATAGTCGTCAGACAAGGGTGTCGTATTTTTTCGAGGGGCGAGGAGAAAGCTCGGGGTCAAGGTAGGGGTAGCTCCTCGCGAATCCTCCTATTTCGATCTCGTTAATGTCCACCCTCTTCTATCTTTTGCTCTTTATCTCTTCACTTTTCCTCCTTCGGCTTGCATATTCGTCCTAATAGATTAATTAATTAACCAAAACAGATATCAACGCAAAGAGAGTATAATTGATACAAAGCAAATGTTACTACCTACGTGTACAAAAAATAGAAACATTAAGTTGAAAGCAACGTTAATTTTGTTCAAATCCTAAATGAACCTTAAAAGAAAAGGAAAAAGAAAGAAAGAATCGCTAAGCTTTAATCTGTTTTATAATAATTATAGCATCGTACTCGCAAGGAAACCTTTTTTCCCGTTAAAAGAGAAGGGATATCCGTTTTTATTACAGCTCGCTCGGCTGCTGCCACGGTTATTACACTTCTCGTAAGAACGCCGATATTATAGTCGATTTCTTACGAAGTGCTCTCGATGCTTGCTGAAAAATCGATTAATGAAATTAATTAAAGATCAAGATGGTATCGTACTAAAGAATTCATTCATTTAGATACGGATCGATTAATCAGCTACTTATTCCACATGAAAATAAAATTACACCTGCCGATAAAATTGACGCGTTAATTGTTCAATTATTTTATTACCATTAGAGGGAAATTTTCAATATTATTATAGATAAACTATTGCATCTTGCAATTAAATAGTGACGTAAAAATTGACGCAATATTACAATATAATCTGTATTATCCTCTCTACGTAATTGAATAAATGATATAACTTGATTGCATAGAGATAAAAATACGAATTCAATTGTAAAATACTAAAATGAAGCTGTTTAAACGGGGTATGTAAACGAAATGGGTAAAAAAGGGAGAGACGAGTTAACGATAAATATCTCTGAATTAGTTTGGGGAAATCCGATCGTATAAAATGATTGTCCTTTGGACAAATGAATTGACTCGAATCGTAAATTGGTTGGCCGAGTCGCAAGGACAGAACGATGTGCACGTACTCGCGATTGATGGTTCGCGAATACAACGAGGTAACGCAGGAAAATCGCAAGCAGCGAGTATTTACGAGCGTTCGCGAACAGCACGAGGATTCGGCCGATTTCGTCCTCGTTAACGGCGAAAGGGCGAACTCGGGTGGCGTGGTGATATCGGAACGCGTCCCGCTAATTTCCACATCGACAAATTATACGACGCGACTAATGGGACACGCGCCAACATTACGGCTCGTGCACACAGACCGAATATTCCGAGGAATAACCCCTTCTGCAGGATCCGGTTAATTAAGGGAAATCGATCGAGGATGTTCGGTAAGGTATCCCTTCGCCCCCACTTCGCCCCCACTTCGCCCCCACGATAACGCGCCCTCGATAACGCACCCTGCCATGAGAAATACCATTGCATTGCTCCTTGAATTTATGATCCCGTTTATAGACGCGTGCACGCTGATTATCTATGATCGCTAACACCTGTCTACCTACTATTTTTATCGACAATGCATTAACTTTCATACAGCTTAACCCTTTGAACTCGAGCCCTTTTTCGCTCGAACAAAAGAAACTCTGACATAATTCTATGTATTATTTTTTCCTCAATTTCATGAAGTTCTTCGATAGACTTTCAATCGAATGAAAGAAAGAGAAAGGGAGAGAGAACAAGAACTCGTTAGTAGAAATCGCAGTAGGAAATCGCATGATCGCTCGATTTGCTATATCGCGTATTTATTATATCTATACATATGCACACTTATGTATATACCTAACTAAGGAAGTTGCAGAAAGTAAAAAGAATTGTCGGTCTCTCTTCATTTCCAAGGATTTAATTACGGTTTCTCTCGAAGCACCCGTTCGACCACCATCCATCCAGAGAAGCACTATTGTGAGATCCCAAAGGGAGATGTCGATACGGAATTCGATACGGAATTCGATAAAACCTAGCTGGCCTTCTCGCCAGCTCTCTTTTTATCGCGATCTTCAAACTAACGAACTACCTCAATCGTATAACGAGATCTTTTTTAACAATCGAAAAAGAGATCGCTGCTCGAGTTGGTGCCTTTAATCCGAACTTTGTTCCGTTTCGTTTCGTTTAGTCGGACGATCTTTGACGCGTTCAAAAGTAATCCTTAGGAAAAATCTCACCTTTCAAAATCGCCTTGAGAACAAATAACAAATTGGAAAGCGATAAATATCGAGAAGAACACAGTATCGATCAAAGAAAAGTTTATTTTGCTATTCCTTTTCGAGATTCCAAATCGAATTTACATATTTAAGTTTCTTTGTATATTTGTCTATCTCTCCGAAGACAAGACCGGCGTGACTGCAACAAAGTACCCTTTTTCTCTCATGCCACGGTGGAAGATAGCAAAGTCTGGCCGAGATGCTGTTTACGTCGTTCCTTCGCAACAAACGCGATCAGAGCAAACTCTCTTTCGACCGATAACACGTTCGATGATTTATGGTAACCGATAATAGGTCCATACTACGTTCAATCCCTGCGGGAACTCCGTGTCTTGGAAAGCCGATCGACTTTCCAGGAAATTCCTATACGACCGAGATACACGCATAATCGAGATTCCTTCCCATTTTATTTTCCGAAATTCGAGATAACTTATGGAATTTTCTTCTTTAAGAAATAATATTTAATTGCAGGTGCATTTCTCGGTGACATAGCACTGCCGAATATAAAATACGAAACAGAATGGCGACAACAAAAATTGAACAAGTCCTATCTCGAGGAATTGGAGAAATACAGAGAGGAGGTTTTAAAGGAGGGTCTTCAAGTAGAAGAGGAAGGACTTACCGGTAAGTAATCGATTTTTCTTCATACACTTTAGCGATATCCGAATGGACAATAGATAAGATCAAAAGGTATCTTCGCCACAGAGATCCTGCAGTTCAAAAACGAACACGAGGCGAACAACGAGGCAAACAACGAGGCCAACAACGTGGCCCATCGGGAGGAAGGAGAGAGCTTGCTCTCTCGCGGGAAATCCGACCCGATCATGGTGGACCGCAATCAGTATAGCATGGGTGCTGAATTTGAGGATGAGTTTAGCTTCAACGTTAGAAACGAGAATACTAATCCTGAAATAAAAGAGGAGGGTATCGAGATCAGGTAACAACAACTTTTCTCTCTAATCGACAAATCTTCCAATTACTTTTTTACTATACCACCAAACAGAATTAATAAGCAAATAAATCAATCAAAATAATTATTATCAGCAGCAATCGAACATATTTCTCGTGTCCAGATTAGAATCGACGACTCTCCCGGCGAAAAAGAGGCACTCGGCTCATCGACAGAATTATTTGACGATTAGCGAAAGTTCTAACGTTGGAAAAGGAAAGAGCAAGCAAACGACTCCGAGACAACCCGACGACGTAGATTTCTCGATCGGCTCGACAACGGTAAAGTCTGGAAATGGGCAAGAAGGTAACAGCGCTACCGGAGGCTATACATCTACGATCAGAGCAGAAACGACGACGCAGGAAAGATCGAAACAACGGCATCGTCGTCATCATCGTAGAAGGTACGTTTACCGAATGTAACAATGAATATTTTTCAACATTTCAATCATTTACCTTCGACTCGACAATTATGGGAATAGTAAAAAACATGTGGGAATAATTAGTTTCATTATAAAAGATAAAATATATAATGAAGAAAAAACTTGAGTTAATAATTCATCATTTTTCGACACGAACCGATCAAACACGTTTCGAATTTGAACGCAAGCGAAAATATTTGAAAGAGAACGAGCTCCAAGCAATTATCAGCCACGGGATCTCCGTGTTGATAATTGGTTTGAAAGTTTGTCAGAGTTACGTCAAAGATACAGGCTTATGGTGGGAACTACGACTAGGTGGTGACTTCTAGCGTCAAAAGTTAAGTCCATTAGACGCGAGACGTAATAGATTTTAGCGAATTATCAAAGTTAACCGCACTCAAGCTCGAACTCCGTACGTCTCTCGCAATCGGAGAAGCCACGGATTCTAATTACGTCACGCCAAGGATGCGAGGATCATTAATTAGAAGTTTACGTCGGCCACAAATTTTCTTTCTTGTCCGAGCATATCCTGTCACCCGCAGAAGAACCATCCCCTCCTTATTTGTCTTCTTTTCTTGCCTCTTCCTTGTACGGTCGGACGATCGAACGAACGATCAAGTGCCTGCTCAAAGTACTTTATTCGAAGACACTAGAGAGAAAGATAAAGAAGAGAACGGATTTGTCGTTAATTTTTTGGCGTATCTAACCCAATTCCAGGGGGAACGATTAAATCGAAGCACGTGACTATACTCGTGGCACGTTCGTTCTCTCTCTCTCTCTCTCTCTCTTTCTCGCGCGCACACATATATATATATATATATATATATATATATATATATATATATATATATATATATATACCTATACTCGCTCAGTCACCCTTTTCCAATCTACCCTCTTTCTCTTACCACTCGTCTTCCCGGTGGCAGAGCCAACCGGCGATGCCAATAACAATGGCCGTCATCGTAAACCTGGAAAATGGGCTCCGATACTGCCGTCCGAGCATTTTCAGCCCTCCAACTGCCAATAACCTGTCAGCATCGGCAACGCTCCACCCCCGATCAGGTACGTCGATCCTATTCCTACAATTCGCTCTCTGTTTTTTCATCGACTGGATTTAACATCGAACACCTGCTCGGTTCCTCTTTCTCCGCTTTTGACACGGCCATTGGCACGGCCATTGACTCGCCTTTCATCCTCGGATCAAATACAACTACGATCAAAAACATTCTTATTACCTGCTAACTCTCTACTTTTGATTGTTACAATTTTTCTAATCTTTTAACTATCGATGAGAACAACAAAGTATGTCTCGCATGTGTAAGTATACGAAAACCAGTACTACAATGGTAAAAAGAATATGCAAAGGTAATACTTGCATAGATATTCCTGGACCAACGACGAGCGACGGTAAAATAAAGTGGGAGAGGGACAGACGTAACGTATCTCTCCCGTAGTAGGCAGACGCATTTATGTGGGTTTCTCTCCTCTGTACGTGTTCATCGTCGACGGGCTCACGAAAGCGCCTGTTTACAGCCTGTATCCAACCCCGTGAAACACGATCACGTAGTGATTCTCCAATGAAGCTCCCGAGAATTCCGAAGAGGATCAGACTGTCAGACTACCGACTCTCCCTTTCGTTCTTGATAAATCATGAGATAACGAAATTGCGGTAACGAGCGCGAAAGTTATATGTTGCTGCTTAAGATCGTTAAGATCCTTGCCATGGAGATCACCTGGAGGATTATCGAATAATTATCAAGGAGAGTAATTGAGATCAAAGAAAAAAAACAAATAAAAAGACAAATGTTGAATAACGAGTGCTTAAAAACCTTTTTATGAAATAATCGAGATGATCCCACCAAAGTTTTTCTGTAAACACATAAACATTATAATATCTAATAAAAATAATAAATATACATGACGTATCACTTATTATCAAATGGTTAGAAAAATGATAATCATTCAGTGGCATTAATTATTAATGAAAATGATAATTTCAATTTAATAAAGATTGTGCGTTATCACGTACGATAAAAATGAAATTCATATTATCATGTGGAAAATAATTAATCGATTCATACATACACAGTGAGAGTATCCTTTAAAATCGTACACCGTTACGCTTACTAGATTTTTTCTTCAATGCATTAGTATACTTTAATTATGTATTAATGTGTTTGACTTGAAAACTTCATCTATAACGAGTGAATTAAACAAATAAAAAAATAATGTACAGGAAACACCCGTACTTTAAAATCGTACACGTTGGTATAACAGAGGAAATACCTAATTTTGTAATGTCTAACAATTGCTTGGTTATCCTTTGTGCTTTATAAATTATTCAAGTAAAAACAATACCAAGTTTATTAGATACAAATTTTCAACTTAAAATCACCACTGAGTAGGAACGTTAAAACAAATGTATTGTTAGTTTAAACTATCAAAAATATTAGTAGAGTTTGCAATATATCTTAATTGATTGATAATGAGTCGAAAAAAACGTAGATTGTAATTGAAAAGCACTGAATAGAAATTCGACGCATCGTCTTCTTCAAAATTCATTACGAATATTATGTTTGTTACGCATGTGTACCATATAAGGAAAATCATATAAACACTATTTAATAAAAGAACTTTTATCGAGGACAATGAACCAGTCTAACGTTGGATTTCGAAGAGGACGTTACATGGATCATATTCTCCGAGCTTTTAGCCAACAATAGACACTTGCTTCGATTAATTAACAATCATTAAGGGTATATCGAAGACTCTCAAAGTATGTCGTATCCCCACTCATCCTTCCATAAACGAACACATGGCGCAATAACTATCGATCAAAGTATATTATATATACATACATATACATCACATTAACACTAAAACCTTACATAATTTCGTTCAACTCGATCGACTGTCGTTTCTATCTCGCTCCCTTTTCTTGCTTCATACAATTTTATATATTCACTTTTGATATATTTATTAATTTATATTTTATATTTTCTTTCTTAATTGTATTTTCCAGTTGAACTTTCTTGGACTTTTTATCGGGATATTAATCGATAATAAATCAGATCAATTTATCTTCAAAGTAAAGGAAAAAAAAAGAAAGAATTGTAAGAGAATTATCGTGTAGCTATAATTTGTCTTCCCCCTCCTTCAGCTTTTCTTCTATTTCAATATGATTATAAATCTTAGCGAATAATCGTTAGAAGTTTAGCGCATGGGTATGGAAGAAGGGCAGCGAAGAAAACGCGTTCTTCTTCCTCCTCGAGAGTGAGTTCCAGCTGTCGACGGCAAGACCCTTCTTAGGCAAGGTCATCTCTCAAGGTCCGTCTCGAAAGTGCCGCCGGCCGGTTCGAGGTATCGAATTAAAGTACAGACTAAGTCACATTAATCTTACCAGGGGACCAATCTCAACGGGGTTTAAGCGTTACTCACTCACTCCCACTCTCTCTCTCTCTCTCTCTCTCTCTCTCTCTCTCTCTCTCTCTATCAAGGGTGTCAAGGGCTCGTCGACGAAGGTGTTCGTACTTTCGATGTAACTTCATCCTATCGATTTCTGCATCTTTCCTACTTCTACTTTTACACCCTTTCTTAGTTCTCTCTCTCTCTCTCTCTCTCTCTCTCTCTCTCTCTCTCTCTTGCTCTCATTCTTTCTTTCTTTCATTTTCCCTTGCCTGTTTCTCCTTTTTTATTTAACTCTCCATCTTTTAAAGTAGAGAAAAGTGCAAGAGACCGTAAGACGAGTGATTTATCGAGATCACCGAGAGAAATGTCCTATTCAGCGAATAGCGTGTTCCATTCAGCCACGGATAGGCCTTCGTAACTCATCGTATATATCTACGCCTCTCTACATATTTCTTTCGTTCGGTTTTTTCATATTGGCCAGTCGTAGGAAGAAAAGAAAAAAAACAAGAAAAATGAAATAAAAGAGCAACCAACGTCATCGGTCTTTGTCGTATATTTTCTTTTTTATCGTTCTCGACAAATTTACCGACCAAAAGAAGACGAATTTTTCTTTCTCATATTTCGTCGAGAAAATCGAGACGATTGATGAAGGACTCTTTTAAAATTCACATTCTCTTACGTTCGATCGAAACCAGTAGTATGGATGGTATCTTACCCAGACGCGGCGTGCACGTGTATCTACATATTACATACGTGTATCCCATAAGTTCCTTCCTTATTTTTTATGCGACAATCAATAGACGATATTTATCGTTTAAGGTTGATTTACTTTTTTACATCTCTCAGGAAGCTTCATTATGCATTATGAAGCGTGCATGTCTACAAATATAGCCGGCTCAAAATCATAGATAACGTGGCGCGGAAAGAACTTATGGGAGAACCTAATACAATACATATACGCGTAGGAAAGATTCATAAAACCTTTCGTAGACTATAGAAATTGGAATACAAAATTCAATATTCATTTCTATTAGCTTTATCCGATTCTCAAGTACAATTATAGATGAATACGTTAAAATATTGAAGTCATCCTTTGGGAAAAGGGATGGGACCACCGAGGACATTGGCACCATTCCAATGACCACAATACCTCGTTGATTCTCGTTAGAATATTACTCCATTGTTTGCTCGGTTAAATCGTAACATTCCATTGTTCTGATAAAATAAACAAAGAAATTTGATAACAAAAAAGGACATATTTAATGGACAACCGGTTCGCGCTATATATTCCTGCCCCCTCTCTCCGTTTCTGTTAGCTATGTCGACGTTTCTGAAATATTCGCTATTCATCTCACCCAAGTTATATGTATATGCATATAAGTACATACCTGCGTATAATACATATGTACATACATTTATTGGCTATATTCTAGATCGAGCCAAGCGATGCTGTCAGCAGCAAGGCTACGCGAGAGATCCAATATTCCTATTTACAGATTCATTGTTTGACGATAGCGCTATATCTCGTAGGATTTAAACATCCCGCGCTAAAGCGAAACGCGAACGACAGAATATCGAGAGTTATTAATCGTCTCGTTAATAAATCGCCTTGCTTTGCAAATGACTCTTCAAGTTAGTCCGATTATTTTCCCTTCAGAATTTTTTCATATTTTCTTATCGTCGATAGATTTTTCCATTTTTTCTTTTTTATTATTCCTCATTTGACGTGTCGTGCTGCTCGCATGTATGACGATCACGCGAGGGGAAAAAACAGAGCAGAGAGAAAAGGAAGGAAAAAAAGAAAAAGGAAGGAAATGGAAAGGAAAATTGGAGCAACGCGAGCAACGTTCTCTTCGCCTTGCCTTGCCTTGCCTTTTCCTCGCCCACGTGCTTGGGGATGAAAACAAGGGGAGAACAAAAAATCGGGGGAAAAAAAGATTCTACTTTACTGACGCATTTTCTCGCACGTAAATCGTTCCGACTACCACCAACCCCGAGGCTTCGTTTTTTTATCATTTGTTCGAAACGAGAACGGAGCAAGTTGGTCGTCAAACAAAATTGCGATCAAAATCATTCGTAAATTGTAATAAACTGCATATACGTGAAATCACTGACGGGAAACGAACTCGTCAATGTTTTTCAATTGAAACACATTTGCATCGCGGAGATCGTAATAAATTTCAGACTTTTTCAAACCAATGTGATAGCAATTTGTGGGTTTTAAAAAAAAATAATAAGATATGAAGAAATTTAGGAAGAGTAAATCGTAGGGAGAGGAAGTAGTTTAAAACGACGCGTTGTGAACTCTCCCTTAAAAGGAAACTCGCGAGAGTGCAGCTCGTTAATTAATTGTAATGCCGTACCGATTCAGAAACCGTGGAGGCTTACTGCCGGCGCACTGTCGCTCGAGGAGACCCAGAGGGATTGGAAGAGAGGGAGGGAGGGTGCTTGCGAGAGAATTACGCTCGCGCGGTAATTAGTACTAATAAACGAGGGGGATAGGCACCGGCACTGGCACCGCCACCGGCACCGCCACCGGCACCGCCACCGCCACCGCCACCGCCACTTTAGCCCAATGTTTACGCGAGGGGAGAGAATTTTTTTTCAAAGTGTCGACCACCCCCTTAAACTACCGCACACCAGCGCAATTCCTTCCCCTCCGAGCAAATTCTGCGATAGATCGTGCCACAATTCATTTATTTGATTTCATTTTATCGACAACATTTATTGTAACTAGGACAGAGTGATATATTGCAGGTGCACCGAGAAAAGAATAATTGAAAAGAAGAAGACAACAGAATGACGATAATTGCTTTATCATTTTTTTCTTCTAACCCCACGCTCGTTATTTTTGTCTTTTTTATTCGTATCTTTCGAACGCACTTCTACTTCGTTTCTCCGCTATCTCTTTTTCCAATTTATTCACTGATAAAGCCATGAAAAGCGTATTTACCGCGATGGCAATTTCGTTTCCTCTCCCGTCCCTATCCCCGAAAACTAGTCGAAGCGTCGTAAAAAAAACCGCAAAGCCATGATACGTTAGATTCGTGCACGTTGGGTTCGTGCATTTGCTTTGTTGCAAACTCTTACGAGGAAAAAGAAGAAAATTTGCTTTCCCTGGTCTTTTTATTCTGTAGGAGAGAATTGACACGTAAAACGAACATTTTACGGAAACAACGAACGATTAATTTCCATCCCACCAGGATTCGAACGTTTAATCGAATTCTCCTTTCGACTCCGACCACCTTCATTTTCTTCTCATTTTCCTAAAGTATTATTTTCTAGCTAGAGAAACTTTCTCCGATTAGATTTACGACTTCCTAGTTGATCGTCGAAGGAACAAGACGGTGGGGTAAGGCAAGTAAATCAGCCTTCAACAGAGAATGCGCTATTAAGAATGAAATATAAACTTCTCCCAGGTGCGTTTACAATTTACCTTACTGATTTGTTTCTTTACTCGTTTCGTTAAGCGATTTTACTGCTAACTATTTAACTGACTGAGAGTGATCTATGTACAGAGAGAGAGAGAAGAGAGAGAGAGAGAAAGAAAGAAATTCAACTTGCAAGCTCGCGATTTAATTATTACCACACTTGAAAATATCATTTTTCTATTGTAAAATAATTGAATTACTTACTATTATTGTTATTTTACTGTAGCTCCTCCATAGATGGTTTGTTTCCTCTGAAACGGGAATGTACCAAGTTTCGTTATTGTTCTTGTTTGTGCAAGAACCTTCACTATTATTATTATTACTATTAATATAATAATGAGTTGGATAGGAAATTGTGAATAGGATATATGCGGTGGTTTGTGGGTTGGATTGCAGGTTAGAACATGATTTCTCCGGATTTTTGGAAGGAGGAGAAAATGAAGACTCGCGTGGGCAGGGTCTTATCCCTGAAGTAGACACCTGTGTGTTTACCCGCTACCCATAACATATATCAAATAACAACATGTAGGGGGTGTTAAAAAAGATAAGATATAACCGGTAACGAGTAAGATCGTAATAAATTGACGAGTCTTTCGTCCGAGCAATGTCGTGGTCGTTTTTCAGAGGTTCTCGAGGACGAAATCACCGCAGGAAGATTGTCCCTTTGCCTCGGGACACGACGAACGATGTCTCGGACGAGCTCGTCTCGCTCCACGACCGTCGACTACGGTCCATCGAGTTTTACGACATGGACCACAAACCGAAGTATCTTGCGAACAACGAACGAGGTACCGAGCCCCTTCTTCTAGTCCACGATTTTCCAACGAGAAGTCGAAGAGCTGCGACTGCCAGAAAGGAACGTGTCTGGGATCACGGAGTCATACCTTACGAGATAGATGGAAACTTTTCCGGAGCGCACAAAGCACTTTTCAAGCAGGCCATGAGACACTGGGAAAACTTTACTTGCGTCAAGTTCGTCGAGAGAGTGCAACGGGAACATCCCAATTATATTCTATTCACCGAAAGACCCTGCGGGTAAATAGCGCATCAATTGATTTTAAAAAAAAGTTCATATTTCATCTAGAAATCAAGAAAACAGACATTTTTATTGCAAATACCAAAAATATGTTGACATATATATGTTTTATCTTTTAGGTTTCTCATTCTCGCGTGCTTTTAACACGAGTTAGATCATTAGATAGAATAATAAATACTCGAATAAAATGTTAAGTCTAGCGATTAAAAGAGAGATATATTTCATTTTAAATGGAACACACGTGCAAGACGTTGGTATTTTGTATTCCTTGTAGTTTGCATTCTCATGTACTCTAGTGTACTGATAAAATAATGAATAAATAGTTTGGTCAAGCGATTAAGAAGAAAAATTGCTCCTCGACAAAATGTAGGCGATTAGTACTTCGTAGTTGAGGACATTTGTTTCTATCTTGAAATTTCCTTCGAAAACTGAACCCCGCGTTTTATATGTTTTTGATGTTGCATTGTAGCGTATTCACGCGTTTCGTAAGAATATATATATTAGTTGTAGGTACAAATCTATTTCCGATAATACTTCTCTGACTTATATCATCGTGTTACGCCATCTCCAGATGCTGTTCCTTTGTTGGGAAAAGAGGCAACGGACCGCAAGCAATCAGTATCGGAAAAAACTGTGACAAGTTCGGTATAGTCGTTCACGAATTGGGCCACGTCGTTGGGTTCTGGCACGAGCACACCAGGCCGGATCGAGATCGACACGTACAAATCATTCGTGACAACATCATGAGCGGTGAGTAAGTGGACGGCGAGCCTTCAATTTCGCGCAAAGGGACGTACCGAAGGGCTGTCTAATTAACGCGAAAAGCGCTCGTCCTGATTCGAAACGGAAGGAAAGGTCAAACCTTTTCAAAGCTGCGACCCCAGAGGGAGGAAAAAAGGTGTGAAATTTCATTTCGATCGGATCAAATTAGGCCGAGCACGTTCCATTTTTCTCCAATTTCTCGGTAATTGCCATTTAGTTCGGTTATCGTTGTAAAAATAATTCTACTCGCTTTTCACAGGGAGTTCTCAATTAATGACGTCGAGAGAGATTAACTTTTCGGAAATATATTAGGTATGCACATATACGCGTAATTGATCATGCTGAGAAAGGCGAAACAGTTACGATTGAAACGCGCAAACGAAATTATCGAAACGTAGGGAAAGAGCGCTGGGGATCGCAATGGGATCGGAGAGTTGCAAATGAATTTTGTTTGCCAGATAAATGGGCCAATTTGTGGCGGCAAATCTTGGTAACCTTTAACAACGTGGAAGCCGGGAAGTACCTAGGTAGCTACTGTAATATTTGCTCCCAAGTGGGATAACGCGCCGAAGATCGTCCCTCGAAAGTTAAACGTATCCTACCTGTGTAAGTTTGATCGAGCCATCGCTCGGCAGCTATAATATTATTTCAGAGGGAGAGAGATTCACTCTATAAACGCGTACAAGAAACCTTTGTCCCGTTCGTTCGATTTTCATTACTCGAAGCATGATCCATAACATACGAGGGTGAAAAATACCCGTTGATCATTTTCAGGTCAGGAATATAACTTTAACAAATTGACGGAAGAAGAAGTTAACTCGTTAGGTCTGCCATACGATTACGATTCCATCATGCATTACGCCAAGAACACGTTTTCTAAGGGCATCTACTTGGATACGATTTTACCTATAGAGAACCATGGAAAAAAACGACCCGAGATCGGTCAAAGGATAAGACTAAGCGAGGGTGATATCGCTCAAACTAATCTTCTTTACAAATGCCACAGTAAGAATAATTCGAACTGATCGTTCAGATAAACTACTCGATCGGGGAAGATGTTAATTAGGATTTGTTTAATTATCAATCGACTAGAATGTGGCAGAACCTTCCAAGAGAACAGCGGGAGTTTTGGTTCCCCGACTCATCCGAATAGTTCCCCAGGAATCGACGGAGAAAGATGCGAGTGGAGAATCACTGCTACGCACGGAGAAAGGATCGTCCTTAATATTACCTCCTTGGACGTCTTTAAGAGCGATTATTGCCGCACCGATTATCTTGAAATTCGCGATGGATATTGGTACAAAAGTCACGTACTAGGTAGCTATAAATTATTTATTATAGAATAAGTAGAGAGAGATTAATTCGACAAAATGGCCAATATCTTCCCGACAATTTCCAATTTCCTAATGGAAATAAACATTTTCCCCGTAGTGTTAAGCTGGTACGCGTATCGCGCTTGAAATAGTTGTTACTCTTTGATCTCGCATACACGAACATTTATGCGATCGATAGGTCGTTTTTGCGGAAGCGGGAAGATCCATGAACCAGTGGTGTCTACCGGAAGTCGTATGCTCGTAACCTACGTTACTTCCGAACGACAAAGCGGGCATCGTGGTTTCACGGCCAGTTACGAAGCTGTTTGCGGCGGGGACGTCGAATTGGATGGCGTTGGTCATCTAGAATCACCGAATTACCCCGAAGAATATCAATCCAGCAAGGAATGCGTTTGGAGACTTTCCGTGCCGCAGGATTATCAAGTTGCTTTGAAATTTCAATCCTTCGAAATCGAGAATCACGACAATTGCGTGTACGATTATGTCGAAGTACGCGACGGTCACAATGCTGATTCCCCTTTGATCGGAGTCTATTGCGGCTATAAGATACCGCCTGATATCAAATCAACTGGCAATAAATTGCTCGTTAAATTCGTTAGCGATGGATCCGTGCAGAAAGCTGGATTTTCGGCAACTTTTATGAAAGGTATATAGGATTCTATCGATAAAATACGCACGCGTCTATTCGAAAAGTTATAGATTTTGTTCTTAACTAGAATTCGACGAGTGCGAATTGACCAATCACGGCTGCGAACACGACTGTATAAATACTCTCGGTGGATTCGAGTGTTCTTGCAAAATCGGCTACGAATTACATTCCGATGGGAAACACTGCGAAGGTGAGTTCATCATTTCTCCGTTTTCGATCAAATGAATTTATTGAAACACATTTCAGACGCATGCGGTGGTATTTTCGACGATAGCAACGGTACGATCACCAGTCCCTCCTTCCCCGAGACTTATCCGGGAAACAAAAATTGTATTTGGGAGATAATAGCACCGCCGCAATATCGTATCACTTTGAATTTCACTCATTTCGATCTCGAAGGCAACAATGCCTATCAGCAAGAATGCGAGTACGATTCTTTGGAAATAGCGAGCAAACTCGGTGACGATATTCTCAGGAAACATGGAATTTTTTGCGGTATCAGGTTACCATCGATGATCACGTCGGAAGGCAATTCCATGAGGATCGTATTCACCTCGGATAACAGGTAGGTATCGTTTTTTTCCAATATACGGAAACCCTTATCGTTCGTAACATTTTGTAGCGTGCAAAAGACTGGCTTCGCCGCGGTCTTTTTCACGGACATGGACGAGTGCGCAAACAACAATGGTGGTTGCCAGCACGAGTGTAAGAACACGATAGGCTCCTATCAGTGTTCCTGCCACAATGGCTTTACGCTTCACGAAAATGGCCACGATTGCAAAGAGGGTGGCTGCAAGTACGAGATTACGGCGCCCGTGGGCACCATTACGTCGCCCAATTTTCCCGAGTATTATCCTGGCAGAAAAGATTGCGTTTGGCATTTCACTACCAAACCGGGACACCGTATCAAACTGGTCGGTTTGATCACTATGTTCTCTTCCTAAACAACATAGATCGCCCAACACACTAGAATTTTATTCGAACGATCTCCGTCTTCTCCTAGGTCTTCAAAGTATTCGAGATGGAGTCTCATCAAGAGTGCGCTTACGATCACATCGCCATTTACGACGGGGATTCGCCAGAAAGTCACACGCTTGGTCGCTTTTGCGGTACCAAGGAACCTCATCCGATCTCGGCAACCGGTAATCAAATGTACATGATCTTCAAGAGCGATGCCTCCGTTCAAAGGAAAGGTTTCCAAGCCATGCACAGTACTGGTAAGTTAACGCTCCTTATCTCCGAGTAGTTTTCATTTCAATATTCGAAAGTGATTATCTTTCTTTCAGCGTGCGGAGGATACCTGATGGCAACGGATAAGGTGAAACATCTCTATTCGCACGTCAGATATGGATATAGCAATTACGATCACGGGACCGATTGTGATTGGACTATCGAAGCACCCATCGGAAAGAACGTTCACCTTTCTTTCTTCTCTTTCCAATTGGAATATCAAAGCGAGTGTGGTTACGATTTCGTAGAGATATTCTCGGGTTTGGATGCCTCGAATCCATCCTTTGGTCGGCTCTGCGGCAACTTGGTATAGAAGAATTTTTCAACGAGTTCCCTTTCAAAGTTATACTTTTAATAACTGATCGATCGGTTTGTTTCAGAACAAAACTGATTACGTATCGACGAGCGAGGCACTTTTGGTAAGATTTCGAACGGACGACACGATATCGTTCAAAGGGTTCGTTGCCATTTTCGTAGCTGTAGACCGGCAAGACAGCGACGAGAGTCATGGGGGCGAAGACGACGAAGACAACGAAAATCTCTGATCCGTCGCCGGCCTCGTCAATCGATTGGGTTACGGCTTTTGAAGACCGACCCCTGCGATAGATCCTTTCAAACGAACAATCGAATCTCTTTCGATCGTCGAGGTCTCCAATTCTCAATAATATTACCCACTTTTTTCTCTATTATTCATTTTTACTTAGGAAAAATAATCCAATGTGTCCCAGTATTTCATTATTCCAAACTCACGAGTCAGTAGAGACGATCTACGAGTCATTTAAACGCATATCACCTGCCAAAAATCTCTAATACTCGAATCGTCCAAAATAATGTCTACGTGTGGAAAATTATTTTTCTTCAACGAGATACATGGCTCTCATTACTATACATATTTAAACTAGACATATCGAGTACTAGCTATACTAAACGTATAATTGTAACAAAGAAAGAACAAAATGTCGAACGATAGGAAGAGTAGAAATTCTTTGAAAATGTCGGTACTCGAATTTTTCAACATTCTGAATGTTCAATCTAAAATTGGAAAGGATGAACAATGGTAAGATGTAAAATAACGAATGGCCAAACTGCCATTGATTATACTTAACTTGTATTGTTATCGACTAGCGTTTACGCGATGTCTTTTTTCGCGACTAACTAATTGTACTTGTCTTAAATAGTATATATATATATATATGATAGTAGTTCATATATATATATGAACTTCGGCCTATTATACGGCCAATTAACGTGCCATGTATATTTAGTTATAAATCCACGTTTATCCGAATATTAATTAATTCCTTGTCCCAAAAAGATACAAAGTTGATTTTTTCCCAAAAAAAAAAAAGAAAGAACAATTTTGAAAAGACGAAGATGATCGTCCAACGATCTTCGAAATAACTTTCGATCGTTTTCCTTATCTATCTTCCTCTAGATCATTTTTCACCACTGCCTCGAGATCATAGCAACGATCGACTCCAGATTTCTTTTGGTGTACGAATATTTAACGAACATGTCTAAAAGTATACAGTGTCACAAGAGTATTCATACGTTCTCTTTCAATTTTAAATAATAGAAGAAGGAGAAGAAGATAATTTTACATAAATGATACAAATATTTGTCTCACTAGAGTATGGTCAATCGTTTTTGAAAACCATATAAATTATTTCAAATTGTCAGTGGAGATGGGTACAAATATTCTTATGAATCGCTGTATATATTTAGTCTATTTTTATTATTATTTTTCAATAAATTTTCAAACGGCACACATTTCAAATGTGTTTAATCTTCCAACATGTTCAACATATATATCAGACGACTAATACGACTTAAATTTATTCTGTATAATATAGATGTCATTTTATGAAATAATCTACATACCGATCGTAATTAAAAAAAAAAAGAAAATCTTGCGATTGATTAAAAAAAATTTTTAATCGGACATCGTATGTTATACATATATATATATATATATGTATCCTTAAAAATACACAGAACTTCGTTGTAAATAATAATGTTTAATCGTAGATACACTTTCGCGACGTTTTATAGATGGTTTTAGATTATCTAACTTCTTATCCTCTGTCGAACAAAATCGAGGAAACAAATTTTCTTAATAATTAATGTTTAGAATAAAAAAACAGCAGTGTTTCAATGGCAATAAAAAAAGAAGATGAATAAAGAATACAAACAAATAAAGAAGAAGAAGAAAAAGATGAGACAATTATTCCGCAATTCGAATGATACTCTATTATGTATAATTAATAATTATCTGTTTATTTATTTTAAAAACTAAGAAATAGAAAATGAAAAAATGTGGAGTTTAGAAAAAGCAAAGATGAAAAACAACTTATTGAAAAAAATCTCGGATTCCAGATTCCGTCGACCATTTTGATGTAAATAGCGCACTATCTTCTCTTCTCGTGTCCTTCTCAAAAATAATATCCTTATCTTTATCATTTTTAATGCTAAGATATATAGATAGATAGATATATATTTACTAATAAAGATTCTTCCCCTCTCAATCGAGTCAAAATTTTCGAGATTACAATTGAAACATTATCGCGTACGTAGAATTTAGAATCTAGATTTATTCGCGCCAGTATATGTGAGTTAAGAATTATATATATATATATATTATGTATTTATATACAAATATAAATATATATGTATGTGTGTGTGTGTGTGAACACGCATGGATTAAAAAAAAAAAAATAAGAAAAAAACCTCTATCCTTCAAAGGAACATTGCATATAGTCCATAGAGATCGATCATGAATGTATGTAGAGAACATTTATTGCGAGATATAATTGTAAGATGAATTGGTCACATCGAGTTCCTTTTTTGTAAATTATATGTGATTTCGCTCTCAGAAGAAAGAAAGAACAAAAGAAAAAGAAGAAATAATGGAAAAAGACAAAATAAACGTTGCAAGTATTGTAACTCTTATCTCGATCACATTATATTATACTATATTATTATATGAATATGTATTTATATATGTGTATATGCATCTTATGAATACGAGTTAAGGATTACAATTTTATGTAACACTCGTTATCACAGGTCGACTTATCGTACTTCTCTATCGCCCAACAAATACGTCACTTTTATTTCAAGCAATATTTCTTCAATAAAACCGATTGACGAATTTTCCTTTTTTTCTGCTTTTTTTTTTCGTTTTTCATTATAAATATAAATCTAATAAAATCATGCGATTAATAATATATTCGATAACGTAGGCGAATTATCGAGGTCTTAGAGGTGATTCTACTGGAAAGACCCATTGGTATTATTAAATTTTATTTCACGCTTTCCCATGCCGCTCATTAAAGAAATCTCCTATTATACTTTCAAATGGGTAGATCTCTCTCTCTCTCTGTCTCTCTCTCTCTCTCTCTCTCTCTCTCTCTCTCTCTCTCTCTCTCTCTCTCGCTCGCTCTCTCTCTCTTTTTTACTTTCTAAATATCGTTCTTTATAATATACATATATCTATATAGATTGTATAAATAGTATCCATAATAATACTAATTCTCAATATAAAAAAAAGGGGGGAAAAAGAAGAAGATAAAAGATAGAAGGAAAAAAACGCAAATATTGCAGCATAAAAACGCAAGAAATTCAAAACTTGCGTGGGTGATCCGATTCCAATACGCGTTTTGCATTTTGAATTACACGAATGGCATAAAGCTTTGCCGATTTCGACTATCTCTTGGCTCATAGTCAATGTCCTGTGTCGATAATAATGCATTATGTCAGTAGAGTCTTTTTTTTACACTTTGGCTCGAACACAAGAAAAAATCAATCGCGTTTAACGATGCTATAAGACACTTTTTAAGTTTCACCCAATTCAGGATCTTTATCCTTTGGCTGACTTGGTCCAGCAGCATCATCATGCGTTTTTGGTCCGGTACCATTGGGCATTCGATGATATTGACTTTTCCAGGTAGTACTTAACGGCCTTGGATGATCTGGATGATCGTATTCTGATTCATTTTGTTTAATCTCGTCGTAGACGTGTTCGACCTTTTTCCCATCTAACTCATCGATACTATGGTAAATATTTAAATTTGGATTACCCAAATCGGCGTCTCTGTTCTTCAGATCGTATTGCAATCCGTAAGCACCTAAATAACAAACAAAAAAACAGGCGCCTTAGTTTTGTTCTTCTAATAGAACCGATGATAAACGTACCTTTACAATCTTCTTCTTCTTCAAGAGTACTACCGAAACCAAATTTAGCTCTCTCATTGTTAACATTTTTATTCGTACCAAGATCGTTCTTGATTTGGCGATTATTCAATAATGTAGTCGTACCATCGTCGTACCTCGAAGAACCTTGATAGGCGTACACGGGATTATCGAATTGGTTTCGATCTATAACGAGAACAAAAATATTGTTCATATGTGTTAATATATTTTGGGACAATGAAGTAGAAATGATTAATACTCGCCAGGTATAGGATCGGCAATGTATTGAACTTGGGCAATCTCATTTTTCAAATCTGCCACCCTACGACGATGATAGAACCAAGCTGTCACTGTAACAGCAATCACTATGATCGCCGCGAATATACCTGCTATCATGCTACCATAACCGGCTTCTTCCTTTTGCTGAACATTTTTTGAAAAGAGTTGTTCGTCGCAATTTTCACCTGAGAACAACAAATGCATGTTTTAATTACGGTAAAGATTTCTCGAAGTATTCATTTATCGATTATTATAAAAACCTGTAAAGCCATATCTACAAATACACCCATCGGCAGGATGACACGTGTAGAAATCATTCTTACACTCGCAAGGTTCCATACATTGATCACCGTAATAACCCTCGGGACAAACTATTAACAATTAAAATAGAACAATTTGTCACGAATAATACAAATAATTCGATAACTCTAAATCAATGACTAACTTAAACTTACTTTCCGTACACCTGATACCAGTCCAACCACGAGAGCAACGACAATGACCATCGTTGGTTCTACATCTACCATGTTGACACTTACAATGCTGAGTGCAATTGACGCCGTAAGTACCCTGCTGGCAAGAAGTTTGACAAAATTCACCTTGCCATCCTGGCATACATTGGCATGCTCCAGTAACGTGATGACACTCTCCGCCGTTCTTGCAACGACAATGATTAGCACAGTTTAATCCATATCTGGTAGGTGGACAAGGATGTTCACAAGTGAGTCCCATGTAGCCAGGACGACATACATATTCGCCAGTTACATGATCACACGTCATATTACCTTTAAAACAAAACGAATAAAGATTGCAGATAAACAATCAAACATAATCCAAATACTTAAAGATTTCTCATTGGATTGAAATATTATTCTTAAGATTAATTTGAACAACTTTAATACTTACTAAAACTGTACGACAAGTCTTTCTGGCGAAACAAATAAAAGCATAAAGTAGAAATAAAATTAGGTGTGTACAATGACTACTGTTAAAGTAGAAGAATCAAGCGCACAATAAACACAACCCATGACTAAAAAGTTATTCGCTGTTGATTGGTTACTACTATTACACACACACACACACACACACACATCTGAAAATGTGACAATTACGACATTCCATTTGCATTCAATAAAAAACCTTACCATATTTCTTTTCTGGACACTTTTCTTTGCAGCGTACACCATACCAGCCTTGCTTGCAAGGCTGAGAACAATCCGGTCCTTCCCAGCCTCTGGCACAGATGCAAGTTCCTGTGTTTGGATCGCAGGAACTATTGTTCATGCAGTTGCACTGCGAGTGACAATCCTCGCCGTAAAGACCCTCTGGACACTTAGTTTCGCATCGGATTCCTACGTTTCGACATTGCAGTATCAGCAGTGTGTTGCGAATAGCATCCGCGAATGGGTCCATGATGATGATGACGATGATACGATGAGAGCGAACGTTCGGTGGATGAGAATCGATGAGGACAAATAATGAAAAGAAAATACAAACCTCGCCAATCTGGTTTGCAGATGCAATGGCCAGTTGCTGGATCACAGTCGATGCTGTTTTCGAGATAACAATCGCATTCCTGAGTACAGCCATGTCCAAAGAATCCTTTGAGGCAACGATCCTTGCAGAGCTCACCGACAAAGCCAGCCGCACATGTGCATGTGCCTATACGATTAAATAACGTGACGTGTGTTCTCTAATTTTCATCATCGTTTGTCCATCTTTTCTTTTTTTTACATAGGTGTGGGTGCAAACGTATCAAGTTAAATGAAATAAGAATTTGTTTCGATAAGATGCAGCGATTTGAAATATTAGTGATATTAATCAATAAAGATGTGTAAGTAAATATAGTGCCAATTACGATTTTACAAGAGAAAACGTTACACCCAAATCCCTTACCATTTTGTGGATTGCAGGATGCATTGTTAAAACAGTTGCACTTGTTCGCACAACCCTGGCCGAAAGACTTGTCGTTGCAGGGACGATCGCAGAGAACGCCTCCCCATCCTATTAAAATATTACAACAATACGTAATAATGTATTACTTACCTTCGTCTGCTAGTTTTCTTTATAAATGATTTATCGAAATAATAATCGTAATAATAAACGTAATCTGTAGAAAATATTTCTTCAAAAATAGCGATGCAAAAAGAAGAAAAAGAAAAAAAATAAAACCAAATCCTTTTCACGTGCATCGTACAAATGTTCACAAATACTCTATCAATTTGTATTGTATTTCTCATACAAGATAAAAGAAGTAACGAAAAAGAAAGAAGAAAAAAAAACGAAAATCTTTGAAGTATGCGATGTTCTCGACAAAAATTGTCCAATAATTGTGCCTTACCTGCAGTGCAATTGCAATGGCCATCCTCGGGCGAACACTTGGCACCGTTTTTGCAAACACACCTCTGAACGCAATCCTCTCCAAATGTATTTTCGGGGCAAAGCTCGCTGCAGTCCTCACCTCTGTAACCAGCTGCACAGATGCAAGTTCCATTTATTGAAGAACACTGAGCGTTGTTCTTGCAATTGCAATGTTCCCGACAACCTTTCCCGTAAGTATATAACGGGCAAGTTCTACTACAGGTTTCACCGTCCCAACCGGGTTTGCAGATACAATTGCCAGTCCATGGGTGACAGAATTCCGTGTTATTTTTATCACATTGGCAAACCTTTCGAATAAAATGTAATTTTATTATAAATTGTTTGTCAATTACATTTACAAATTGAAGTGACTTTACCTTGGAACAATTCTCTCCCCAGACGCCATCTTCGCAAATTCTTTGATCGCATTTTTCTCCTTCCCAACCTGGACTACAAATACAAGTACCGTTGGTCGCTAAACAAGTGGCACCGTTCTTACAATCGCACTCTTCCGTGCAATTTAAACCATATCTGTCTTTCGGGCAAATCTTTAAGCACTGTTGGTAAGTAGAAAAACTTGTTAAACACAGATAGAGGGAATAACGATCGGGAACGTAAATGGTATCTAATAAAATACTTACTTTCTCATCGTAAAAGCCAGGTTTGCATTGGCACTCTCCGGTAACGTGATGACAACTACCACCATTGTAACAATCGCAGATCATCGAACAATTTTTTCCCCAAAAACCTTCTGGACAACGATGAGCACATACGGAACCCTACGATCATTCCAAAATAATTCTTTCTTTTTACACAATATTATAAACGTATTATATTAATAATCGATATCATAATTTACAAAGAAACAAATAAATTATTCCTACACTTACCATCCAACCAGGTGGACAATAGCACTCCCCATTCGTCGGACTGCACAATCCGCCATTTTGACACGTGCATTCTGACTTGCATTCATTCCCATGTTTACCAGCAGGACAAAGATCGTCGCACCTAAAGGTTACAACAATTCGTTATATATTGCCAAGGAAAATGATTAATATGAAATTAATTCATATGTGTCAATACATAATGAATAAACTCACAAAGGACCTGTATAACCAGGAGCGCAATGGCATTCTCCAGTTATGTGATGGCAACTTCCACCATTTCTACATCGACATTCCTCGCCGCAATCCTGACCAAATTTATCCGATGAACACGTTTGATCGCAGTAATCACCTTTCCAACCTCTCGTACATATACATTTGCCATCGAAGGGATCACAAGTGGCATTGTTTTGACACATGCAATCTTGTTGGCAATTTCCACC